AAATATCTAAGAGTAATTAGTACAGCTTTCATCAGACCACACCTGATAAGTAGTGCATCAATAGCAACATTGCCAATATTATTACGACTTCAAATAAGACGCCAAGCAGGTCTTCCTAATGAAGAAATTTCAGTAGCAACGGCAGAAACTAAAGATAAAGTCAAATGTTTTTACTGTCCTCGAAGTAAAAATAGAAAAACCACTTCAAGGTGTGCAGATTGTTCAAAACCTATTTGTGGTGAACATATATTTACAATATGTCAAATACATATGCCACAATCAATGCTATGAGAGTGAATAAAGTGTTTACATTTCTTTTATGTTATACAATTTTTTCTATATGTTATTTATCAAGAATACAATTTTTTAAGAACCAGGAATCAACTAATTTTTGTTAATTCTGTGGAACACATTTTTCGTTGAGTTAGTTCTGACACTTATTTTTCACTAATTTTTGTCGTCTAAATCTGAGTGTAACCTCAGATTGTGTTTATCATGTCAACTTTTTAAACTACAGGGTATCATTAAAAATTATGCATAGATAGATAGATAAATAGAAATTAAAGTGTACTGAAGTCGTAAAAAACTTCCAAATATGCTTAGATCGTAAAATATCAAAACATACCAGAAGTGAGATATATACCACTGAACTTAACACAAATTGGGAGTTTATGAAAACCACGCTCAAAGAGACCGCAGAGGAAGTGCTGGGTGAAGTACCCAAAGGACAGCGAAACAACTGGTTTGATGAGGAATGCCAACGAGTAACGAAAGAGAAGAACGACGCGTATCTGAAAATGATCAACAGAACGACTAGAAGCAATCTTGAAGAATATCGAGTAAAGAGACGAGAGGAAAAACAAAAACACAAACAGAAAAAGCGGCAACAAATCAATAAAGAGTTCGAAGAAATGGAAAACCTTAACAGAGAACACGAATACAGAAAATTTCACAAACAGGTTAACACAACAGGCGCGTTAGTGTTCGAGATCGATCTGGATTGCTTTGAACGGGATAAATACGCACGGCGCGGTGACATTGCGCTTAGTTTAAAACTGAACGCGTAACCAACGTCCAGCGGTTGGGTTAGTAGAGAACAACAAAAATAATATTATGGCAAGCAGTTGTAAGAAGGTAAAGACATACCACTTTCATTCGGAATGGGAAGAACAATACTTTTTTTACAGAAGTTAAAGATAAAAATGTGTGTTTGTTAGAGAAATCATAAAACTGTACATTCTAATTTTGAAAAATCATTCCCACTACATTCTGCCGTCAGAAAGGAGAAACTGAAACAGTTAAAAAACAGTTAATTGGACAAAAATCAATATTTTTAAGAACAGTCGACAAAGGCTGCGACTGAAGCATCGTACCGTGTGTCCCAGATATTTGCACAAAAAAAGAAACCTTGTGAAGACGGGGAATGATAAAACAGGCGTTTTTAGAAGCTGCTGATTCGTTATTTGCCAAATTTAGAAATAAAGACGAGATAGTTTCAGCTATAAAATCTATGCAATATAATACAGTGATGAGACCTGTAGAAGTAATGAGCAATGATATTTTTTTACAATTAGAACTGACTTACATAACTGTGTTTATTTTTCAGTTCAACTGGATGAATCAACAGATGTCGTTGACACTGCCCAGATGGCCGTGTTCGTCAGGATGGTTTTTAATGATTTTACGATTAAAGAAGATCTTTCGAAGTTCATTTCACTGAAAGGACACACTACTGGACAGGAGTTGTTTACTCATTTAAAAATATTATTTCTTCACAGAAAATTCCAATATCGAAAATGGTAGGCTTGACAACCGATGGCGCTCCAGCTATGGTGGGTTGTGATAAGGGCATCGAGCAAAAAGACAAAAGAGGGAATCTATTCGTTATGAAAAGGAGACCAAAATTTATAAAAGTGGCCTATTACTATGGAAGACATATTCAGGAATGCAAAGGCATCAAATTTAAAGTATCTATAAAATATTTTTTAGAATAAGTCTTAGACGAGAAAGTTTTAATTAAATAATAACGATAATAGTGTAAAATTCAATATAAATAAGCTTTCATTGACAATTGGGACAAACAATAACATAACCCAACTAAATTTGATTTATTAAACAAGGAAATATTCTCTTTCCTTGTTTAATGTGGCCTCTCAAGATGGAATTTCCTGTCTAACGATATTTTTGTCCCCACTACCTTTACATTCCATCTTTTGTCTTTTTGCTCTATGGATAAGGGTCTGGTGGCATTATGTTGTAAAGATGAAACTTTTCCGCAATTTCTTTGTTACCACTGCATTATCCATCAACAAGCGTTATGTTGAAATTTTCTGAAACTAAACAACGTTATGAAACTGGTGGTAAAAATTGTGAACAAGATTAGAGCTCAAGCGTTACAAAGAAGATTATTCAGAACCTTGGCCGATGAAGTTGACTGTCAATACGGAGACCTACTCCTTCACTCTGAAGTCCGATGGTTAAGTAGAAGACGGGTGCTGAAACGTTTTAATAATGTCCTATCTGGCATAGTTCAATTTTTCCAGCAACGCGATGAACCGACTCCGGAACTAAAAAATTCAATCTGGTTTAGAGAGTTTGGTTTTCTCGTGAACATTACAGAGAAATTAAACGAACTTAATTTGCAGCTTCAGGATAGAGATAAAGAACTAGCGGAAATGATTTCTGATATAAAAGCATTTATCAAAAAGCTGGAGTTTTGGGAACAAAACCATATTAACAGCGATTCCAAGCATTTTCCTATTCTTTCAGAAAAAAATATCTCAAAATCCATTAGAACCCTATGACAACAAATATCATATAATTATAATAATATATGAATAATTTCTACCCTGAAGAGTAACTTTAAAAATCGTTTTAAGGATTTCAATGAAATGGCTTTAATAGCGCAGTTTGTTGTTTTACCCTTTATCAAAATTGATATCCAGCAGTTTGCAGCTTGTGTTATGCAGAACTTTGGCAGAAGTTATTGAGTTTCAAAATGATTTAGCCTTAAAATCGTTAGTCTCAAGTACTGAATGTATCTGGCCTATTGTAAGTAAAGACAAATATTCAGTTATATGCCGTGTTGCCTTGAAAGTGAAAGCATTATTCAGTTTAACCTATTTGTGTGAATCTTCATTTTCCAATATGAAGTTTATTAAGAACAAATATCGCAATCGACTTACAGATGAACATTTGGATAATTGCATGGACGTATAAACACAGATGGACTCAGTTATTTACATAAAATTGTGTAGTCCAAAATTATTTAAATAGGTCACATTCTCAGCACCTTCAACTGTTGTCACGTTTTGTTTTAAAATTTCTTATTCGCGAGTCGCTGAAAATATTACTCCGTATTTTATACTCTACAGGTGCTATCAAACCAAAATAATAATTTATTGGTTAGATTAATATATTTAATTGTAATCAAAATATAAAGTGTGCACATAGTGTACATTATCATTTAATAATAGCCTATAACAGATATCAATCAATTATTTTATATGTAGAAGCACTGAAAACTATTTATAAATGGCAACGGTTGTTTACATTTCTCTGTCTTACGGATCTACGTCAAACTTCAAATGCTGTTCCATGTTTGTTTACTTTTTAGTAAAAGTTGTTTTTCGATATTTTGGCTGTATTTTGAGTGATATTTGTAAAAAGTGAAATAAAATAAACGAAATATTTACATCCCGATCTCTCATTTAATTTGTAAGTACATACAATTTACATTATTTAAGATGAAGAAATGAGGAAGCGTGTTTGTTTACATTTTAATAGGCGTACCATTGGGTTTATTCATGTTCATTAATGTATTGAATAAGATATAAGTTCATGAAATTAGTAGACATTTTTAAATTGTAAGTAGACATCATCTGATTAAAAAAGATCTGTTTAGTACCTTTTTAACTTAATATTTCTCATGGATGCAAATAAATTAGTAAAATGAATAAAACTCATTTATTTTTCTATGTAGGTTTCCAAATAATATTGACGATCGCACTATTTTGGTAGCAAATTTAGGAGAAAACATAGAGATTTTTTATTGTAGCATTATTTTGATACCTATTAAAAATTAACTTGAATTCAACTATATTTTATTGTATTAATTTTAAAGCAAATAAAATTGTATTTTAATTTTTCTATAAAGACGTGATTTGTTAATAGTTAAACTCTCGTTTTTTTTAAATTCTTTAAACGTGTTTTTATACATTATTACTACTTCCAATTTTAAAATCTGAATAATTACCCGCGAGTAATAATTCAAGCACGCTTATGCTCATTGCGGAAGCATCACATTCTATCGAAGCTTCAAAACGTGTGTTAAAGGTATCTTATTGCTGTGTCCATCTATGTTTATACGTCCATGGATAATTGTATTCGAATGGCTGCATCAAATTATACTGCCAACATTAAAAAAAATATCGATGAGTCTGAGACACAATATTCTCATTGAACGTGCTTTTTTATTTTTCAATGTTTATGTTTATGATAGTTCGTTACTTTTTTGTTGTTATTATTAACTATTTTTAAATCATACGTAACATGCCGTTGTGGCTGGATAAAAGCTTGTGTTTATTTTTCAAATACCTTCGTTTGATAGGTAGGAATGTAGCTACGAACAAGTACGTACTAGTAATATTAGTTATTTTGTTATTAGTTTATTATTAGTACCTATGTATTATGTATTACCAGTTAAACAGTAAAATAAATACATATAATGATAGATTAACTGTGGATTATTTCATTTACGTTGCGTTACGTGGCTTCCGTGTGGGTAGCTCGCTGTTTATTCCAAAATTAACAAAGTAGCTCAACACATTGAAGAAGTTGGCGACCACTGCTTTAGCTTGATCCACTTAGAGTAACGAATACCCTATATTTACAGCATTCTTTAATTTTTTTCAGATGCACTTTATTTATAGGAGAATTTAAGCATAAAAATATAGTCATACTAGAGACAGATTTAATTAATAATATCATTCATTTTGTAGGTTTTACGAAAATACGACTTATACTGATAGTACTACATACCCTAGTACTTTAAATAATGTTGATTTGGAATTGGCTATTGACATGGTTCCGGCATATTTGTTAATACGTTCACAACCTAATACAACTAATGACGAAACGATATTCGACAAAAAGCAAGAGAAGATAAACGATCCTTTGGAAAATACAAAGACAGGCAACAAAAAAACAAACAGAGAAAAGGCAGAAGCTAAAAAGTCTAAACCTAAAGATATTCCAGTATATTATAATAAAAGAGTTCCAGTTGAAGAATATAAAAATCCATTTGACTATTTTGCATTTGAGAATAATTTATTAACTACATATGCAATAAAGAAACAATCGTTGTTGGAAAAAGAGATGCAAAATACAACAGCCAATGACATTAGATCTACATTCTTATGGGAATGTAGAATTTGTTGCAAAGAACTTGACAGCAAGAACAGTTTATTTGATCACTACGAAATACATAAAGCAATCGCAGATCAGTTAGATAATCCAACTGAAGATCAAATAGAAAGTATCGAAGAAGAAAAAATTACTTGTGACCTTTGTCAAGCTACTTTTAGAAATAAAAGAAATTATATTTCTCACGTTAGACGATCACACAAATCCAAGGAAGATTACTGCGAAATATGTAAGAAAAACTACGCAAATGAATACAGCCTAAGCATCCACAATGCGACGCACAGTTCTGATCCGAAAACATTCGTTTGTGTAGTTTGTAAGACATTTAGTACTCAAATTAGAGATTCCTTATTTTTTCATATTCATTCAGAACACGTAAAAGAAGAATTGTATTGCAAAGAATGTGATAAACATTTTTTCTCGAAAAGTTGGCTTGAAGGTCACAAACTCTTTCATAAAAGTCAAGATAATGACACAGCAAATCGCTGCAGTGTTTGCTTTCTTGAATTTCCAACCTCTCGTCAATTGCTCGTCCATATGCACGAAAACCATGACGATAAGTCTATTATGAAGATAAAAAAATATAAATGTACAGCGTGCAATTTTACTTTTGCGTTTAAGAAAAACATGGATCAACATATGGAAAATATGCATTCTAGCGAGAACGAGAAAAAGTCTTTCCTCTGCAGTGACTGTGGACGTTCGTATTCTTCAATAGGACCTTTAACACAGCATATGAAAATACATAGAGAAGCACAATATGTATGTTCTTCATGCGACAAAAAGTTTACAAAGAAATCATACTTGACAGCCCATCTTCGAACTCACACTGGGGAAAAACCCCACAAATGTCATTTATGCGAAAAATCGTTCGCTCAAAGATCACCCCTCACTGTTCACCTACGACGACAACATACCGGGGAACGGCCTTACTCGTGCAAAAAATGTGAAAAAGGGTTTGTTACGAAAACTATTAAAGACTATCACGAGAAAACATGTTGGAAATAAAATGTACAATTGTGATACCAATAAATATTTCTAAAGAGCATTACTGAGTAGTTTTTAAAGTCCTTCAACTTAAAAATGATTATTCGGGAGTCAAACAGCAAAAATCGTTTTTTGCGAAAAATTTTCCTGTGGTTAATTCCCATTAAAGATAGTAGATAAGATAATATTAAAATGCCACAATAAATTAGCTTATGGGAACATTAATTCCCTTTATTAATCTATATTTTTTTTTCACTAAATGGTTTACTAATAAATAGCACTTTTTTTTATTTATTTACAAATTCGCATCAACCCGAAGGTTATTAGCGAGAATCAGATTTACAATATTAAATAGTATTATATATTAACAAAATTAATAGCTTTTAAGTGGTTTAACATATTTGTGAATGAACAATTTGCACCAAGTGCTTTCTGAAGTTTATTGAGATACCATAATTGATTCTTGCTGTGGAGAAAACTGGACAGTCTACAACAACATGTTTCACCGAGAGTTTAACATTACACTGCTCACATTTTGATTCGGATTCTTTAGTAATTAAGAACTTGTGCGTGGCACTGGTATGACCTAATCTAAGACGAGTTATTGTCACTTGATCCCTTCTTTTAGTGGGGAAACATCTCCATGGTTTAATGTTCGGTTTAATATTCTGAAGATTGGACTAAAAATTCCCACCGGTTTTGCCACTCACTTAGGATCCGCGATTTGATAACACTTGAAACATCACTAGCTATCACGTATTTCACAAAAATAGGGTCAGCTGAATTGACGGCTTCACGCGCACACTTATCTGCTTCTTCATTACCTCTTATACCAATATGTGATGGGATCCAAATAAAGATTACCTCCGTATTACAATTTTCTATCTGTATCAGATTTTGTTTTATTTTTTCAGGAATATGATTCTCTGGGTATATTCTTCCTATAGATTGTAGTGAGTTTAGTGAATTAGTCAAAATGATATATTTCTGATTTGGTGAGGATATAATATATGTGAGTGCCTCGTATATGGCATATAATTCTGCATTAAGAGTACTATAGTGTATTGGCAACTTATATTTTTGACACATATTAGAGGATATAATTGCTGCTCCCACGCCATCTGTTGATTTTGAAGCATCTGTATAAATTTGAGAGAATAGCACTTTTTATACTTATAAACATTTAAATAATTGATGGATTCGACCGTTACTTGATGGAAATTAATTTTATGTAACAGTAAAATACTGAAAACTTTGTTTTCAAACTTCAACTTTACATCTTCTTGAAGTTTGCATAAACCGGGAATACTTTGAATTTAATAATCAAATATATACAAATAACAGTGCAGGTTTTATAATGGGCAATCCTCTAAGCCCATTGCTATCAGATATATTTATGAATCATCTAGAGACAAAGATTTCAAAACATCCTGGATTTAAACAGTGTTTATATTGGTGGAGATACGTAGACGACGTACTGGTATGTTTCACAGGAACTAACAGGCAACTCTATCAATTTTTATCGCAAATTAATTCATTTCATAGTCATATTGAATTTACAATAGAAACAGAACAAAATCAATCCATAAATTTTTTAGATTTAAAAATTGTCAGACTTAAAAATAAACGTGACTTCTCCATATTTCACAAACCTACCCATACTGACACGACTATACACAATTCATCATCTCATTCAACACAATATAAACTGGCAGCCTATCATAGTATATTACATAGATTAACAGAAATTCCGATGTCAAAATACAACTTTGAGACAGAATTAAATATCATTAAGCAAATAGCAGTAAACAACGGATACAACGAACAAATAATTAATAAAATGTATACCTTCTGCTCGATTACATATACAGGCAAAATATCAAAAAAATAGCCAAACATATAAAAAAAAGAAAGGAATAACACCAGCTTTCCGAACAAATAACAACGTAGGCGAATATATTAAAAACAACAAGAGCCAAAATAAAAAACACTTACACAGTGGTGTATACAAACTTAAATGTGGCGACTGCCCAAAAACTTACATCGGTCAAACTGGTAGAAACTTTGATAAACGAATAGCAGAACATAAAAGGGCTTTCAAGAACAGAAAAACAGATGCTACATACGCACTTCACCTTCTAGATCGCAATCATTCTTTTAATGACGAATTTAAAATTCTTCACATTCAAAATAAAGGCCTTAAGCTAGAATCTATGCAAATCAACAAATTAAAAATCACAGATATAATTCTGAATGACCAACTTGAGACAAACAGTTCTCCCATCCTCAACCTATTTCATTGGAGACTATAAAGTGTAAACGCATGCCAAAAATAGATCACTTGAGAAAGGCAATCAGCCGAAACAGCTGTAGTGATAAGAGGTTAAAATAAATTTTGTGTTTTAATTTTAATAAAGTTTTCAGTGTTTTATTGTTATAAACATTTACAATACCTCCGTAAAATTTAGTTCAAACTAAATAATAAACAATTATTCAGAAATCTGTCTAAAAAACACAACTTTTAGAAAAACAAGATATCCTGGACCCTTAGGAGCCAACATATCGCCTTTAAAAAAAAGCATTGTTACGTTGATTCACAACATTAAGGGCTAAAACTTATCAATCTTTTATAAAAAAAAGTCAAACTTTTTAACAAAAAAATTATTTAAATATTCCTTTATAAATGGTATGATATTAAAAAACCTATCAGGCTACATCAGAGAACCTTTTCGGAATTAATATTCCATCATCAGTGCTATCTGGATCTACCGGGTGGTCCAATAAGCCGATCTCTCGGCTATATATCAGAAAAAAGTGGCCAAGATAAATCGCTGGAAATAACTTTCAAGTTTCTGGGTTAACCGCTAGGTAGCGTAACCGGTGAAGAAAAATTTGAAAACCAGTTTTTTAAGAAATATGCCCAATTATACCAAGTGTTAAATAAGTAAACTAGAAAGGGACCTAAATTTCGCACATATTTGTTCAAATTTTTTTTTTAATTTTTTTAAAATAAAGGGTGGGGGAGAGTGGGAAAGTATTTGTGGTTAAATATCTTTAACTCTGGTTTGGATGAACAGATTTTAATGAAATTAGTGTCATTAGAAAGAGTGTGGATGATTTAATTTACATCTACTATAAAACAATTGCATTTAGTTTTAATTGTCATTGGTAGAGATTACTTTCGAATAGAAAAAATTAAAATTTGCTTTTCTTCAAATGGTGTAATGGAAACACCTATTTATTGTAAATTATAATGGAATTGAATTAAATTCGTAACAAAATGGCGCAAACCGCAAGTTGATAGCTTTTGTCGAAGTCGAGATATGAATAAAAACGCATAAACATAAGTAAGTATAGTATTGACTCACCCTTTATTATAACTTAAAATTAAATATGTGAAAGATCATACAAATATCTCGATCATTAAAACTTAATTTTCAATCAAACGTTCAAATTGTTTTCCATCGTTGTCCACACAAAGATGTAATCTCTGTCCAACTTACAATATATTTAGATAGCTGTGGGGGCACAGTTGATGCCACGGTGTCCCGAATACAAAACTGTAGTGTGGCATTATAACGTTATAATCATTATAATCATCAATTAGCCTTAATAATAAATAAAATGTCTTGTTTGTTCACTTGTTTGTCTACTCTTCGAATTCATAAGAAGAGAATTTTTAAATACCGTTCCCTTTTGGAGCTTTTGGACTAGTATTATTAAATATTAACAATTTTTGTTGTAGGTCTATTTCATTTGAAATTGATATTGTTAGTAACAAGAACGTTTCCGACGATATTGCATGTGAAGCGAGGACAGAAACAGAGTCTACTTTGACAGTAGAAGAATCCCCCAGCAGGAAAAAAATATCGAGTAAAGTCATTACTACTAAGGAAATTTCAGTTAGAGCTAAGAAATATAAAAATCCTTTTGATTATTCTGCTGACCGATGTAAAGTGACTTGGAAATGTAAATTTTGTTTTAAAACCCTCGAGAGCAAAAATAACTTGTTAGAACATTACGAAATGCATAAAAAAATAATAGATCAATTAGAAGATACAACCCCAATAGATAAAGTCGATAAAGATGGGAAACCCGTGACGTGCGACCTCTGCCTTACCGAGTACAAAGACAAGTGGAGGTATCACAGACATCTTCTGTATTTTCACGGATTAAAAGAAGACTTGTATTGTGCTTTGTGTAAAATGAAATTTGCATCTAGTTCGGCTCTTCACAACCACAAAATGATTCATGCTAAGCAGATGGGACCATTTGGTTGTAATATGTGTTCCTTGCAGTTTAGTACAGAGCGTAGGCTCTTCGACCATAAGCAAGAGGTACATATTCAACTAACTCGATATAAATGCTTCAAGTGCGATCTCACTTTCCCTTTTAAAAAGAATGTGGACGAACACAACCGTCGTATTCACACCTCCACAAAAAACTCTTACTTGTGCAACATCTGCGGAAGAGGGTATTCAATGTTAGCACCATTAACGCAACACATGAAGATTCATAACGAAGGGCAGTATAAATGTTCAGTATGTGATAAGAAATTCAAACAAACACAGAACCTACGAATTCATTTAAGGACTCACACGGGAGAAAAACCGTTCAAATGCACTATCTGCGATAAATCATTCAGTCAGAAGCCTCCGTTGACTACACATTTAAGACTACACTCAGGGGAAAGGCCGTTTGCTTGTAAAATCTGCAAAAAAGGATTTGTTACTAAGACTATTAGGGATTATCACGAGAAAACTTGTTTGAACAAAAAATAAGCAAATAAAACAAACTTTATAAAGACTTGTTTTAATTGAGGAGTGTTCATCATCAGTGATCTTGCTCTTCCTCCGCCATTTATCCTTCGTAAGATTGTAGATGTATTATAGTATTGGACGTATGGTTGATATCCATTCTTTTTTCTCCTGCACGTAATGTGCTGTCTCAGAAAGAGAGAGAGAGAAACCGGTGGAGCTCTTTGTTTCTTCTTCTTCATGTTCCATGTCCTTTCAGAACGTTGGTTACCATCATAGCTATCTTAATTTTATTCACTGCCACCCTAAAGAGCATGCTTGTATCAACACCATAACAATCTCGCAAGTTGTTCAACCATGAGGTTCTTCTTCGTCCTAGACTGCGATTGCCTGCTATTTTTCCTTGCATGATATTTTGTAGCGACCTATATTTGGGACCTCTCATTACATGTCCGAAATACTCCAGCTCTCTCTGCTTGATGCTTTTTATGATCTCAGTAGTCTTGCTGAGACGTTCTAGTATTGTGTAGTTTCGAATTTTCTCCACCCAGGAAACTTTTAAAATTCTTATATAGCACCACATTTCGCAAGCCTCTAGGCGATTTAGATCAATTTTATTCACAGTCCAAGACTCGACACCATAAAGTAAGACCGAGAATACGTAGCAGCGAAGTAGACGGATCCTTAATGCCAATTTTAGGTCTCTGTTACATAACACCTTGGACATCCTTCTAAAAGCAGCTCTAGCCTGCTCTATCCTGGATCTAATTTCGCCGTGACTTTCTGCATTACAATTTAATTGCTGTCCGAGGTAAACCATTTTATCAACTTGCTCAAGTTTGGTATTATTTACATATATAGACGGTTTTATATTCTGTTGTTTACTTATTACGAGTATTTTGGTTTTCCTTATGTTAAGATCCAGACCTGCCTCCCTACAACTCTCAACGACACTATCAAGTAGTGTTTGCAGATCTTCTTGACTAGAAGCTAGGAGTACTGTATCGTCCGCATATCGCAAATTATTGATGACTTCGCCGTTCACAAGTATTCCTTCTTGTTTTTCAGAAAGTGCTTTTCAGGCTCTACTTCATCAATTTCATTTAGTTCTGGTCTATTCATTTTCTTATAGTTTTCACGAATTGCACGTAATTTATTATTTGTCCATTCAAGTATTTCTTGTATCATATCATCGGAAATGAGAAAATTGAAAATTGAATTGATTGAAAAAAAATTATGAAGTCTCGTTTCTTACATCTTTGACCAAAGAGCTGGTAGTTTACATACTGTGCCGGCAGGGCACATACTCTCTACTGAGACCTACTTTTTTCAATGTTTGAAACATTTTTTAGGTACCGTATCGTATGCCTTCTCTACATCTACAAACAATAGGTGGGTAGATAGATTCCTTGCCTTCTGTTTTTCGATTACCTGCTGCAGAACGAATATACCATCAGTGCACGATCTTCCTGCACGAAATCCATTTTGTTCTTCTATATCTTCGTATTCTGATTCTATTCTATTTTTTATTATTCGACCGTACAACCTCCCCACTGAGCTGATAACAGTTATTCGCCTATAATTAGAGCATTTGCGTTTATCCCCTTTCTTGAATATTGAGCTGATGTACTCAATATTTCAATCATCAGGGATATTTTGGCCTTTTAAGCATTTGTTAAATAATTGAACCAACATCTCATGTAATATTTTTGGTCCATACTTTACCAACTCAATTGGGATGTCTTCAGGTCCTGCTGCTTTACCGTTTTTTGGGCATCTTTTAACTCTCCGGTTGTTATCTCAATTATTTGTGTATGTTCGGATATTTCTTCCATTTCGATCTCTTGGAATTTACATCAATCCTCTGTCAGTAAGACCTCATAATGGTGTTTCCACTGTTTCAGATCTATTAACTGTAAGTTAGATTTTTTCTTTCCTTCCCTACGGAGAGACTTCATCCCCTTCCAAGCTTGCCCAACTCTTGTTCGACCCATATACCTATCCACCTCTACACTTATTCGATCCCACATCTCATTTTTTACTTTTCACTACTTCTCTTTTTACATCTCGATTTAATTTTTGATATATCTTGTAATCTTCATCCTTACTATCCGATATATATATATATATCATCATCATCATTATCAGCGTATTCTACCAATTATGGTGCAGCCTCCCTTACATAGTCGTTCTTCATGTCTGCCCACGACTGTCTAATATTCGCTTTTCTGTGCCATGTTGTACCGGCTTGTTTCCTTATGTCATAGTCCCATCTTAAATTTGGACGTCTTCTTGGTCTCTTGACGCCTCTTGGATACCACAGAGTAATTCTAGTGGACCATCTATTGTCAGTTCTTCTTGCTAAATGTCCCGCCCACTGCCATTTTAAAGATTTTATTCGGTGGATTACATCAGTGACCTTCGTTTTCTGTCTGATCCATTCTATTCTTTTTCGATCTCTCTTGGTTATACCTAACATGCATCGCTCCATTGACCTTTGAGTGACTTTGAGTTTAGCTATTATATCTTTCTTTAGTGTCCAAGTTTCGCAGCCGTATGTCATGACTGGTAGTATACATTGATCGAATGCCTTTTTCTTCAGGTGGAGTGGCATCCTAGATTTGAATATAAATGAATTTTTACCAAAAGCTGCCCAAGCCAGTTTCATTCTTCTGTTGATTTCTGGGAGTAATGAGCCAGATTTATGTATTAATTGTCCCAGGTATATATACTCGTCTACTGTCTCCAGTGCAGTATTATTTATTATTACATCTTGGACATCCACTAGCTCGTTGTACATGGTTTTTGTTTTTGTCAAGTTCATTTTTAGGCCAACTTCATTGCTAGCTGCATTTAGGTCGCTTATAAGTTCTTGTAGTTCTGCAGGATTTTTAGCAATTAGAACGATGTCGTCTGCAAATCTTAGATGGTTGAGGTATTCTCCATCAATGTATAGGCCTTTGTTTTGCCAGTTCATTTTGCTGAATATATTTTCTAGAGTTGCAGTGAAGAGCTTTGGTGATATAGAGTCTCCTTGTCGGACGCCTCTAGTAGTGGGAAATTCTGGAGTGTTTTCATAAATTTTTACCTTAGCTTTTGCTTGTCTGTATATATTTGCTAAAGTTTCTATGTAAGGTTTGTCAATGCCTTGGTTGGTCAAAGCTTCTATTACTGCCTTGGGATATATAGAATCGAAAGCCTTCTCGAAATCTATGAAGGTTAATGCTAGCGGTATTTCATATTCTTTAGCTCTACTCATTAGTTCTCGAAGCGTATGGATATGATCCATGGTACTGAACCACTTCTGAAGCCAGCTTGCTCTCTTGGCTGTGCAGCATCTAATGCATTTGTTAATCTGTTGTTGATGATTTTTGTGAATATCTTGTATATGATTGGTAGTAGACTTATAGGTCTGTAGTTTTTAATCTCCTCTTTATTACCTTTCTTATGGATCAAAATTATGTTTGCTGTATTCCAGTGGTCTGGTATGCATCTTGATCTTAGACAGTTCGTATATATATATATATATATATATATATATATATATATATATATATATATATATATATATATATATAACAATATATATATATATATATATATATATATATATATATATATATATATCCGATATATATATACTATCAGAAGCTGTTCCTGAGAAATTTCCAGCTGTTCTCCGTGCGTAGAGGTTTACTCCCCGGCTCTGGAACTCCATTCAACAATGTATGTTACCTGAAGTCATATTTAATTTAATACTGAACATCACAGTTTTTTAACAACAAAATGTATAATCTTTTATAACTATATGTAACTTAAAGGGTTTTTACCCATGTATTTTGGTGGCTCAGGCATTTTAACCTAGCAATTTTAAAATTTAAATCTGATGATGGACTGTTTAGTCCGAAAACCTTTGTTTTTTTGATGTAGCCCTTTTAAGGGTTTTTAAATAAATATACCCACTTACGAAGACTTACCTCTGTTTCTTTTTTTTTAATATCATTTTCCTTTTCCGTTGCATTAGTCGTCTTTGTTTTATTCCATCATTTATATTCCGAGGCTTTTGGTCGAATTTTTTAGCATTTATTTGTTTTGACAAGGGATCAGTTGCTAGCCCATCGCCTCAACCCTCCTCCTTTATCCGGTCTTAGTTAAGTTAGTTAAGGGTTAACTTGTTAATTTTATTTCTTGATTTCTTCTTCTTTGTGTCTGCTGGTAAGTTCCTTCTGTACATTTCGTTTTCTGGGACGTTATCACTGTTCATGAAAGCCTAGTATAATGACACTCTACCGATCGCAAACACTAACTGTTTGGGGAATAGTTAACCTTGGACATACTTTATGTTTTCAAGATCGCTGAATGAGAAAATGAAGCCTATTGCAGAAGAAGCCTATTGAAATTGAATGAACGTGGTGAAAAATGAAATATTGGGTAAAACTGTGGATAATAAATTTTAGTAATTTCTAAGACTTTGTTATTTAAAAAAAAATAGAACAAATAGTTTTCAGACTACCAACTATCCTAAAACATATATGATTTATTTTATTATTTATTATAGTTTTTGTTATGTTTTCCTTAAATAAATATAATACTAATGTTAGTTTTTTTAGGACAAACAACTCATTATCGTCTTCTACCACGAGTTCCAGCCTTCAGAATGATCAAGCCTTGCCTACTCGTCTACTACCTGTCAAAGGAGCTCCCATGTATTACATAATTTTACCAAACGCCTCAGTATCTGCGCCTAAGCCATCACAAACACAACTACTGGTGACATCAATTGCTCCAGCTCCACTTAAACTAAAAACATCACAAAACCAACTATTGATGACAACAAGGACTTCTCCACCGGTACTTAAAGTAGTTCCGAAAGTTGTGATGGCAACTAATACTGTTGGATCTAGATCTCTACCTCCATTGAAAGTAACTTCAACCAATCGTTCAATAAATAACGCAACAACTGTGTCAAATGTACGTCCAAACTCACCAGTCGTAACCCAGAGTAAACGTGCTTTGCCCACACAATATATTGACCCTTTTGACTATACTCCTTACGTAGAAAACACTTTATCCTCTAAATACACACAAAAAATAATCGCTAAAGAAGAACGAAGTTTAAAGCAGCGACAAGTATTCACGTGGATTTGTAGAATTTGCAAGAAAGGATTCCATGAAAAAGAACAGCTTCTGGAGCACTACGAAATACACAAGAATACCAAAGATCAGCTGGGTGATATCGACTTAAATAGCGATGCATATAACATAAGCAGCAAAGAAATAACTTGTCCAATTTGTATGAGGAGCTATACCAACATAGCTTACTATCAACAACACGTTACTAATAAACACAAACCAAAAGAACACTATTGTAATTTGTGTAACTCTAATTTTAATGATGATTATCTATTGAGTGTACATAACAGCAAGATTCATAACCAAGATCCAGAATTGTACGAGTGCGTGATATGTAAAAAGTTTCAAACAAAAATCAGCAGAAGGTTATACGATCATATAAATACAAAGCATTTAAAAGAGGAAATGTATTGCATTGTATGTGACAAGACATTCTCATCGAAGACGTGGTTTGAAAATCACAAAATATTTCACATAGAACCTGATGAAAGAGATACATATAAGTGTCGCAGATGCAAATCTAAATTCACTACGAACTACTGCTTAATGCAACATATGCAAGAATTCCATATAAAATACAAATGCAATCAGTGCGATGTAACCTTTCCCTACAAGCTAAATTTTGACAAACATAACCTACTTTTGCATGGAGGAGAACAATTTCTTTGTAATGATTGCGGAAAAACGTTTAAAACAATGGCTGTCCTTCGCTCCCACCTAACAACTCATGGAACAGGGAGCTATCTTTGTTCTTTGTGCAGTAAAGTGTTTAAACAGAAAGGAAGTCTTGACCATCATTTGAGGACTCACACTGGAGAAAAACCGTTCAAGTGCCATACATGCAATAAATCTTTCTCCCAGAGCACCACTCTTAGAATACATATACGAACCCATACCGGCGAGAGACCATATCCTTGTTCCAAATGTGAGAAAAGATTTATTAAAAAAAGCATGAAAGATGTTCATGAGAAAAAGTGTAAATTTTAAATAGTTAATGCAGTTTTTTGTAACTTACTTTTGTAACGTTAATAAATATTTTGTAATAAATGTTTTTTTTTGTCACCAATCTTTTCTTGGCGAGTTTTTCGAATGAAATTTGTTAGTTTGTTCTACATCTGTATAGTACCTAATGTTAAGGCTTATCCGCGAAAATCCTAACGGTAAATTTCAGTGGACTATCTCTATTTCAAAAATGTCTTTCTTAATGAAAACAAAATCTGTTCATGAAGTAATATTCTAAACTTCGTTCAGATATCTCTCTCAAGCCCAGGTCAAAAATGCGTTCATCTTTTACTCGAGCCGATTATACAACCATATAATATATAAAGTAATATATAATCTATTCATAAATTTACAATGTACCAAAGGTACATACATAATTTATTTGTTACTTTTTTACGGAAAAATTGGCTGTCTGAATTTTAACGTAGATTAAAGTTTACGGAAAATAAAAATTATAAAAAAAGATTATTCGCTGTGAGCCGATGAGTAGAGGGGATTTGAAAGTTTTCACCAACGCTGTTAGTGGCAGTTTTGTGCATTTAACTTGTAAACATTCAAATAATGGCGAATATGGATTTTTCAAAAAGAAAAAGATATGATACATGTAAAAATACTGGGTATAACAGTGATTGTAAATTTTATTCCTTTCAAAGGGAAAAATGGATTATTGCTATCAATAAGAAAAATAAGCTCGCCGCATATGCGGATGACATTAACCTCATGTCCCGCAGAGTGGATGATGCAGCAGAAACATATTCGCAGCTGAAAAAAACGGCCAAGGAGATTGGACTTGAAATAAATACACAGAAGACAAAAATACTAACACAGACGCGGACAAAGCGAACAAGAAATCTAATCAAAGTAGAGGATGACATTGAAACAGTGAAGAGTTTTACTTATCTGGGAGTCGAAATGAATACGGAGGGAACAGAAGAGGCCGAAATTCAGAAGAGAATAATGAAGGGAAATAAAGCCTATTTTTCCCTGATTAACATATTCCGCTCCAAGACGGTACATCGAAAATCGAAACTTAAGGTCTATAAAACTATCATCAGACCGATAGTATGCTATGGATGCGAGACATGTGTTTTGACAGAAAGCACTAAACGAAGATTAGAGGTTTTCGAGAGAAAAATCCTAAGGAAGATCTTTGGACCTATCACTCAAAATGGGATGTGGAGATCTAGATATAACCATGAACTCTACCAACTGTTCAAAGAAGCACCTATTGCAGAGTTCGCTAGAGTACAAAGGCTTCGATGGGCTGGTCATGTGGTACGGATGGATGCCGACAGACTGCCGAGAAAGGCCTTGGATGGTAAAATGCAGGGCAGAAGACCAAAGGGAAGACCACGTAATAGATGGGAGAACGAAGTCACAGCAGATGCGCACAACTTATTGAACGTCAGGGCTTGGAGACGAGTGGCGCGGGATCGCCTTTGTTGGAGGCAGAAGTTACAGGAGGCCAAGGCTCAATTTGGGCTGTAGCGCCATTGGAAGAAGAATAAGAAAAATAAGTAAATAACCTATAATAGAAACATGATATTTCTATGGGGTAAAATAAAAAAGCTATTATATTCCGAAACATTGCGTACATGCCCTGCATCAACTAAATCTTTCCTCTTTTTTGGTGTAGCTGGTTGAAATGGGATATCATATGATATAGACTTAAAACCAGTATAATGTTTAATATCCATTTTGATAAAATTAATAAAAATTGATATCAAAGCACTAAGGACTAAGCATACAAAAAATAACTGAGCAAAAACAGAATGAAAATGCAAAATGAAAACAAGAATTACAATGTTACAGAGGTAAAGGCATCGAGCAAAAAGACAAAAGAGGGAATCTAATCGTTATGAAAAGGAGACCAAAAAAGTGGCCTCTGATGGCGGACATATCCGGAAATGCAAATGCGCCAAATTTAAATTTTCCGACACTTATTAACAGTAGCTATAAAATAGTTTTCAGAATGTGTCTTACAGTGGCTTCCCACGGTCGGCGATTCTACAGATCTTCGCGGACAGCCGATAACCACGGACGGCAACGCACCGCAGATAGAGCTCTTCCCACGGTCCGTGACAGTCTGTGTAGGTCCGTGACAGTAGTATTTGATTTAACGCAGTGATGCCACTCCTCACGATTTATCGTGAGATCTCACGAATTGAAGACAAATCTCACGATCTCACGATTGACGTCTTATATCTTACGATTTCTAAAATTTTTAGGCTGTTACTAAATCTAAAGATAAATACTGGGTACCTAATAAAATTTATACGAAAAAATCAGCATTTTTAAAGTGCTCTTAGATTGTCACCTTGAAATATTCATAAATCAACTATATTTTTATACAAAAATGCTTGCACTACTCCAATTAGTATACACAAAATAATATAAACAAAGCTTAAAAGGTTCTTTATTGCTTTGAAAGTGTAAATATCGGTCCATAAACAACTGAAGTTTATGTATATTTTATCAATAAATATCAAGAATAGCCGGAATTTTGTATTAAAGGATCAACAGACCAAAATGATTTAAGTGTGTGTTCGAGATATGAAACAAATCAGCAATTGCATATAACAATAACTTTATATTCCATCTTCAATTACTTTGAAATCCTACAAGTACCGATAAAATGTTAAATCTTCAGAAAACAAAATGTTTATGTATACCTAATATATACCTATTATACTTAATATTCTTGGGTAAAATAGGTTTATAATTTTCATTGAAGTTTAAACTATAAAGAATGTTTATAATTATTGCCTAATATTGAATCGATAAATCCATAGCTTGCAGTATATAGATATAGGTAGGTAGGTAATTTCCTAAAATTATATCTGATACTGGTGGTTCCCCTAAAGTAGACCCTTTTCTAGTACACTAATTTTTAAGTATGTACTTATACATTAATTAATATATAACAATACAAAGTATTTAAAATAGTTTTGTATAATTATATATCATTTAAACACTCTCATTTCTTTCAAAATTCAACTGTAGCGAAATCTCACGATTTCTTACGATTTATTTACAAATTTAAAAAATCCAAAATAACTTCGTTTGTCCATTCCATTTTTTAGCAAAAAACTGCAAAACAACTTCGACAACACTACAGACAACTACTCGTAAGAGCGAATAAAAAACTTCTGACTTGCATTTGTCGTCTGTTAAAACACAGAAGCGCTAGGATCGCGTCGCACGAGCATGTATCGCACCTTTGATGTTACCGACTCTAGATGGATAGGACGGACCAGCACAGACGTGCCTGCGCTACCACGGACGAGACCCTTCCCACGGTGCGTGGTGCGTGCTGGTCCGCTTACGTCCGTAATATCGCCGACCGTGGGAAGCCTGTATTAGACGAGAAACTTTAAATAAATATTAACGATAACAGTCTAAAATGTGACACAATTTTTAAAAAAACCTAATATATAAGCTTTCATCTGACAGTTGGGACAAACAATAACATAACCCTACTAAATTTGTCTTCTTCTTCTTCTTCCTTTATTGGGTAATATCTCAGGGGATAATTTGCCCAGCTAACACTAAATTGAAATTATTTTATATTGAATGAACACTATGTCGAAACTTCTTCTTCTTGGGCCAAACAGTTAGTATAGGAAAGTCTATTCAACACAGGATAAAACTTTTCTCGCTTGGAGGCACAACCAGTCTTTTTCTTCATAGTCTTTTTTGATGAGGTCCTCAGAGTTCCACAGCAAACTCTTCTGCAGCTATCTACTTAATTCAATAGCTACTTTACTGTGGACTGTCCAAGTTCCTCTTTTTTCTTTTTTTCTACCAACAGATGATAGAGAACCCAGGTGGAAAAAGAGAATAATTTGTAAGTTTGTGTTATACTAGATAAGATAGGAATATATAATTATAGATTGATTTTGGCTAGATTAAGAAAAGTAATCAATAAATTTAGTCTTTGAGGATTAAGATTGGATAGGAAAGAGCATATCTCTATAGGAGTTTGTAGTTTTGTTTTAACCAATTCTTTGTAGAGGTCAAAATTTGGAGAAACGTTTATTGGACACTCTAGGATAATATGATTCAGAGATCCAATTTGACCACATTCACAGTACGGGTTGTCCTTAATACCTATGCGGAATAAATGAACGAGAGTGGAACAATGTCCTGTTCTCATTCTAATTACTGTGGTGATATGCCTTCTGTCTTTATAAGGAAATTGATTGAACCATGGTGATTTGTTCCATGTATTGACTATTTTTTTATAAAACGACCCTTTTGATCTATTTGAATTCCATTCTTGTGCCCATAGAGTCCAAATTAGCTTTTTAATATAAAATAAGTAGTTTGAATAATGCAATTTAACTTTGGCTGGCATTTTTAGTGATCTTCCTATGTTTGCCAATTTGTCTGCAACACAATTGCCCTTAATATCAGAATGCCCTGGAATCCAAGCCAAAATAATACTGATGTTATATGTATGATGTTATATGTACTGATGTATAATGCCCCTTTTGGTCATGATAGAGGTATGTTCAGTTTCCATTGAGTAAGATGTTTTCCCTATCTTTTGGATAGCACTCTTAGAATCAGACAAGATTAAGGCCCTCTTGATATCCTTCTCCAAGACAAATTGAACCGCATGATTAATTGCAATAATCTCTGCAGTGCAAACTTGAGTCTGCGTAGGGAGTTTACTAGAGTATGAGTATTCAAAGTCAGGACAAAAAACACCAAATCCTGCTGAGCCCTTACTATCAACTGACCCATCCGTAAAGATTATAGTGTGAAGTGGATTGTCAAGTGAGATTCTTTGAAATTGAATTAATGCATGTTCATCACTTTTATTAGATTGCACATTCCTAATAGGGATAGAAGTTAATTGATATTCTAATTCAAAATTGTGACACGGAAATAAGTCGCTAGAAAATAAATTTGGGGTATATTGGAATTTATTCATGATGGAAACTAAGAGGGGAATACTTTTTTTATTCCAGTAATTAGGA